TGTACCTTTGTAATACACTGATAACCACCAAATGCAGGTGGTGATGAGAAAGTCACATGATGAACCAAAGCCCATCACAAGCAGCTTTTAAATAATAACATATATAGAAGGTGCACAGTGTCATTCACACAAACACCAAACACCATCATGGTAACACACATGAAACTGAAATAATGCAATAAACATTCATTTAACAACATTAGGTGTGACACACAACCCCAATATACAAAACTGATAAGAAAAAACTAAGAAGAATCATAGTTATTTCAACAAAAAACATCAAATTTGAAATGAAACGCAGGGAATTCTGAGAATGTCAATTTACGGTTATTCACTGTCAATTATATGGTCTCTTTCACTTGCAAAAACGGTATACTACCGTAAAATTACATGTAATGTCCAATACAGTTTTTCACCGTATATAGTAGGGGAATTTACCGTTAACCATTTAACAGGTTTTTACTGTAGCATTTTTACAGTCTTTTACCGTAAAATTCACGGTCATTTTTTACAGTGTAGGGACGGGTTTGGTCAGTTTGATTATTATAAGGGAACACAGTTCAATCTGTTTATTTTATATTGTTTTGTTAAATGAACAAGTATTTTCTTTAAAAAATGATTAGTTTTCCCCTGTTTATTTATGATTCAAGGAATATCCAGTTTAATGATATATTAAAGAGTAGTATACTAATGTGAGTGTTGAGCCAATAAAAAATGTTTTTGCACCAAAATTACAATCTCTTATGTCTTCAGCAAGCATTTAGCTAAACGTAACCACCCACCCTTTACACAAACCCTTGTTACATTAAAAGTCCGATGCCCATAAAGATACTAAATGATTAGTAATCATTTATAAACATTTGCAAATGATGAATAGTTTCCACATTAGATTGGGTACTGCGAAAACACGAACAAATAACTAATAGATTAAAATAGAGATATAAATAGAGGTCTACACAACAAACAAAGACCAACAAATGAAGATCATATGAACTGAAAGTTTACTGACATTTGTAAGCATTTGAGTTTACATGAAATAATCATATGTTAATCATTAGGTGATGTTTAGTAAGTTCATCAGTAAACATTAACAAGAACATTATCTCATATTTCTAGCTATGTGAATATATATTAACTAATGATCTGTTAAGCATTATATAATGTTTGTTCATGATTTATAAATGAAAGTTATTATAAAGAGTTACCCTTTTAATAAATAAAAATGAAATGAAATGTAATTAGTTTTATCTTAATGGAGGCCATTTTTGATGGATGTGTTTTAGGGCTGTATTCTTTCTGAGTTGTGTCTGTCTCTGTCTGTAGACTCACAGTGGATCCGTGTGGAGGGTGACATGGGCGCATCCTGAGTTTGGTCAGGTGTTGGCGTCTTGTTCCTTTGACCGCACTGCGGCTGTATGGGAGGAGATCGTAGGTGAATCCAATGACAAACAACGGGGACAAAGTCACTGGGTGCGTAAAATGTATTTTATTCAGAGTTTAGTACTGTTGTCACAATATGGGAATTTCTAACTTCCATACAGTACCTTGACAAATACTGATAATAGCGTTTTTGATACCACAGGGAAAAATTGCTACGACATAAAGGGCATAAAATTAGAAAAGTATCTAATTTAATTTATTTTTGACACTAATCAGACTAATTTCTTATCAACTGAAACTGTTGCCTTAAAGCTCTGAGTGGGATTATATACAATAATAGTCATAATATATTATTATTGTTATTATATTAAGACAGAACTGTTATACAACTGCTCTGTAAAATAACAAAAATGAATTTTTCATAAGTATATTAACTATTTTACACTGCAGATGTTTTAATATCTTCTCTTGCACTTGAGTTTATAAAGCCCTGCACATAACATGTTGGAAAAAAAAAATATTGTAATTTGTAGCCTCAAATTAAGAATTTGTTTCCCATTAATTATTTTGTTCACTTATTTTAGTTTAATCATGGCCAAAAATTAAGAATTTGCTCGTCTTAGTAAATTGTGGCCACGCTGCACTAATTTATTGCCTTGTTTTAGTAAGCTGTGGAGGGAGCGAATTAATATGAAGGAACAAATTCTTAATTTGTGGCCATGAACTAAAACGAAGGAACGAATTAATAAAAGGAGGGAACGGATTCTTAATTCATAGCTGCCATTTAACCAAAACAAGGGAACGAATATTAAATCATGGCCATAGTCAACTAAAATGAGGAAACAAATAAAAAAAAACAAGGGAAAACAAACACAGCTGGTATCAGTGTATTGATACTGTGGAAAATGAGTATTAAAACGATTTCAGTGTTGATATGTAATGAAAAATCATGTGTTTTGCGGAAGGAAGTAAAAACCGAATGTATGTGCAAGGCAGATGCAGTGTCATTTGTTCTGTTAATTTCTGTTGTGCCTGTACAGATCAAGAGAACCACGCTGGTGGACAGCCGGACGTCCGTGACCGATGTGAAGTTTGCGCCGAAGCACATGGGCCTGATGCTGACCACCTGCTCTGCAGACGGCGTGGTGCGCATCTACGAGGCCCCTGACGTGATGAACCTCAGCCAGTGGTCACTGCAGCACGAGATCTCCTGCAAGCTCTCCTGCTCCTGCATCTCCTGGAACCCCTCCAGGTCTGAGCGCCGTCTACACAGTCACATATTAGTATGAAAGATGCACTCTTGATCGTCACGACTGTTTGTTCTGCCCTTTAGTTCTCGAGCTCATCCTCCAATGATAGCCGTGGGCAGGGACGACAGCAACGTCACATACAGCGGCAAAGTGCAGATCTATGAGTATAATGAAAATACAAGGTATGGACTTCACTCCATGCATCAGTTCCTATTTTGCCTGTTATGGATTATAAGCATGTTTCTAAAGGGTTTATGCTGACCTACAGGAAGTATGCCAAAGCAGAGACGTTGATGACTGTGACTGACCCAGTACACGACATCACCTTTGCTCCTAATCTGGGGAGATCCTTCCATGTGCTGGCCATAGCCACCAAAGACGTCCGCATTTTCAAACTCGTACCTTTGAGGTAAGTAGGATATTAAATGTGTTATTTCAGCCCAAAATAAACTGTAGATCCCACTTTTTTTCCGGGCCACAGTTGGTTGATTATGTACAGTGCTTGCATGCTATTTGTCAAACGATTTTACGGTTATTACCTTCAGCAAGTATGAAAACAATAGGAAAGCAAAGCCAAAACCTGAACATTTTAGAAATCCTGACCAGGATGTGTCCAAGAAAAAGAGGACACATGGTCTCCCGACGGGGATGGGCAACTGGAGGGCCACTGTCCTGCAGAGTTCAGCTCCAGCCCTAATCAAACACACCTGCCTGTAGCTTTCTAGTGATCTTGAAGACATTGATTAGCTGGTTCAGGTTCAACTCTGCAGGACAGTGGCCCTCCAGGACCGAAGTTGCCCATCTCTGCCCTACAGACATGAGTTTAGTTCTTCTGCAGAATGTCTAAAAAAAACACGTACACATTAAAAGAAAGGGTCCAAGCCATTTTCTAGGTACATGGAACCTAGTAAGGAGTAGGGCTGCATGATCAATTTTGCGAAGAGACATGATTTTCAAATCATGAAGGCTGTGATTTATTTAAATGAATACACTGCCATTTCAGAGTGAAACATGGCACTGTGTTCATGTACATGCTGGCAGCTCATGATTGGGTGTTTGTTTTCATGCAGCTTTGTTCATTTACTGTGAATTGAGCCTCTGAAACTCTGTATTACAAGCTGCACGTGTGTAATTGAACACAGTGCCACGGCTCATTCTGAAACCTGCAGCACATTTATTTTTTATGTTTTTGCTGGCAAACCACCTAAATAAAAGCTTGCTTTATGTTTGAAAATAAAGAAGTTATTAATTTTACAATACTAAGCCTATAGAATAAATTATATTGATTAAATATGCATTTTTGTATTTTACAGTACAATAATATTATTACAAGTTTTTTTGTGCATAAAACAAAATAAGTATTTTAAATGATCAAACTAAGAATTGTTCAAACTAAGTAGTATAGTTATATTTAATGGGCCAAAAACAGTGTGAATGTGGCCTATGGAGACTTAAACAAACAAAAAAAAAATTCAACTCCGTTTGCTCTGTAAAAAAAGAATTTTCAGCTTTTTAAAAAAAACAAATATTTTAAATTTCCCAACAAATAGAGCTATTCAGCTCACCTGTTGAAAATCCCTGTCTTTTTAAATAAAATCTGTATTCACAATGTAGAACTCAGGAAAAATATCACAAAATAAAACATCAGGCAAAATAAAACGGAACATCACAATGTCAGTTTTTACAATATACTGTGCAGCGCTAGTAAGTGCCTCCCACCAGTAACCTCGCGTCATGGTGCTGAGTTTTACATGTAATCATGTTTTTGCTTGGACTCTGCGCATGTTGTCGGTGTAGTTGATTTGTGTGTGTGTTTCTGACAGGAGAGAGAGCGCCAACAGCTCTGGTCCCACTAAGTTTGAGGTGCAGGTGATGGCTCAGTTTGACAGTCATAACTCTCAGGTGTGGCGCGTGAGCTGGAACATCACCAGCACTCTGCTGGCCTCCTCTGGAGACGACGGCTGTGTGCGGCTCTGGAAAGGTCAGCCGTCAGCCCAGTCTGCTTCCTGCTGGGGGAACGACAAGTCGCAGTGATAGCTCTTTATCATTGCCTATTCAGATATTCCCTTTGAAGACCAACTATTTTTTTTTTTTATATTGTTTTTAATTAATTTTGAATTAATTATTTTAAAATATTAAAAAATTAATTTAAACATTTGAAACTGTTTTATTTATGATGACAACTAAGACTACAGCACTGCACAGACAGGGAAAATAATATGAATTGATAATATCCCAACCTGATACGTTTCATGAAATAAATCACATTATGTAACTTGTGCTGTGAATGCCGTTTCATCTCATCTGCAGCTAATTACATGGACAACTGGAAGTGCACAGGGATCCTGAGAGGAGACGGCAGCCCAGTGAACGGCTCTGGACATGCTGCGCCTCTGAGCGCGGTGGGCGTCCCTGGAGCCGCTCAGATGCTTGTTGGGGCCACTTCTGCTGGCAGGTATGTGACAGTGCTGTGATGTAGGGATGAGAAGTAAGGGTGCACTCAAGCCATTTTGGAAAAATTGTCTTTAAGAGTTGAATGGCACCCTCAAATTGATAATTGTGAGTGGGAAGCTCTGGATTTTATTTGAGCCCTAAGTTTCAGTGACAGACACTGAGGATGCATCGTCTGTAGTTGACAATAAGTTTTTGAAATATGCAAAGTTTTTGAAATATGCAAAATGAAATAAAATATGATGGTATTGTACAATTATGATTGAATTTAGAATGATTCGGTTTACAGCACCTTCATAAACTGAATAAAAACATAAAACAGATACACATTTTTTATTAATCATTTTGTAGTTAAATGTATATATATTGTTTTGTAGAGAAGGTACATTGCTCCACAGTGATTTGAATGCAACTGATGTCGTAATCACAACTTCCCAACTCTTAAATGAACTTGGAGGATTTCAATGCAGTATATGACCCTCGATATAGTTGTTTTTGAGGTAACACTTTAGAATAGGGAACACTATTCACTATTAACTAGTTGCTCGTTATCATGCATATTGGCTATTTTTAGTATTTATAAAGCACATATTAATGCATGACCATATGCTAGATCACTTAAACCTACCCAATACCTAAACATAACTACCACTACCTTATTTGCTATCAATAAGCAGCAAATTAGGAGTTTATTGAGGGAAAACTCTTTTAATAATAGTGAAAATGTTCCCTAATCTGAAGTGTTAGAAATTCAAATACTAAACAGTTTGCATATTAAGTAACCATATGATATTGGATATAATTTGGATAAATATGAATAGGTCTGGTATAATCTTTACATTTTTAAATAAAAATGCAAAAAAAAAAAATTATTAAAAAAATTATGCATGATTTTTTTGGGGAACTGACAGAAAATTATTTACATATTATTTTTTTACATTTGTCTGCATTTGCATTTTCAGGTTTGTGGCTTATACATATGTCTTATTTTTAACAGAAAAAAAGCTCAGCTGATGCCAGGCTAACAGCATAACGTGCTGATTGGCTGTTTGCTGCATGCACAGGATTGGACCGAGACCTCATTGACCCTCCCCTGCACAGTGTGACACCTGAACACTAGTCTAGCTACTAATCCGACAGAAGCGTGTGCTGACGGCATGATCGGTTGTGTGGCTGTTAGAGGAACTGTGCCTCTGTGTGTGTGTTGTGTTCAGTGGTACTTACCTGACTGAGCATTTTTTTGTATTATTGAACAAATGACACTAAACTTGATTCCCATCAGTACTGACATGCTTGTTGTGATATGATGCAGTATTACTAATTTTAATACATTTAGGTAATTTTTCATGAGTTTCAGACATTATTGTCTGCACTTGTCAGCATTTGTAGATGCATTTAAAGGAACAGTGCACCAAAAATCAAAATTATATCGTTTACTCGCCTTCAAGAGTTCCAGAGCTTGTTTCTTCTGTGAAGTACAAAAGGAGATGTTTTAAAACCCCTCATTTATCAAAAACCTATTTGCATTTGGAGCAACTTGAAGGTGGGTAAATTTGGCAACTTTGGTTTCTGGGTGAACTATTCCTTTAACTCCGGTTCCCAGAGAACACTCCACATATTTGTGCTGTTGTTTTGAAGCTGCTGGCATGTGTTGTGTTGTGTGGACAGTAGAGGGAGACAGTATCATTCAGCCCAGTTTTGCCCAAATTGCTCTGTCTCCAAATATCCCCTTGGAATAACTAACACATTACATTTAATTCATTAGACTAACTGAATTACCAGATTTCAGTAACTCTTCTATGATGTAGGCACAGATTGTTTTAAGCTTTTTGCTTTGCTAAATCCTAGTAGTCAATAATGAAACATTTGACATGCCAAACAATATCTTTCTGGGTTAATGAACTATCACCAAAAGTTTGTGTCAAAATTCAGGATTTTGGTGCATGAGTAATGAACCATAAATCAAAGGCTGGAACCCGATCATTGATGCCATATATATATTGGGGATCTTGAGATGCTTGTTCTCCTTCATGACAGGAGCTCAGCACATTCTTTATAGTGGTGCCACTTGAAATGGGAATTCAAAAGGAGAAAATCTAAGCAGATTTAGAAATGAATGCAACTTTTATGAGTGTATTTTTTCTCAAATAAAGTTTGTTTTTCAGTTCTGAGTTATGTAATAAAAACCTCTCTGAGGTTTGTCTGAATTGTGTTTGTTCTCATTCAAGGAGACCTTGCAAGAGGAATGTGTTGGTCTGAAAAGACCTTAAAAAATAAAAAATAAAAATAAAACCTTAGCCTTTTTGTAATGTTACCGTGAACAAAATCCTGATTCAGTCCCACTCAGATCTTGACCCCTGTATCTTATAAAGGACAAACTAATTGTGCAAAACTTGTTACACATATAGTGTAGGCTAAAACATTCAATGCTGCAGTTTTTTAATTAAAAGTTATCAAACTAGTTTTTTCTTCATTTTCTGCATAAAAGTTTATCAGCCACTAAAAAACATTTATTCCCAAATTAGCAAGTCCTTATACTGACAGTCGACGTAATTAACGTAACTAAAATAGTTTTAATTTCTTCCGTTTTTTCTTAATTTTAATGTCTAGTGGTGGAAAATAAAATCACAGAAACCTAGTTTGCAGGCTAACTACACATTTTGGTGGATATAACACTTTAGATTAGGAAATGCCATTCCCTATTAGATGCTTATTAGCATGCATCATATTAGCATATTGTCTGTTTATTAGTATGTATAAAGCACATTAATGTCTTATTCTGCATGACCATAAGTAAAGACAATGTATGGATTGGCTCTAAGCCAGAGCGATGTTCCGTCATGAACAATGTTGTCCTTGCTGTCCGACTAATTCAACAATAATTGAGCAATTTGATAAAGCATGTATTGTCATTCATTTCAACACTATGCTTGCTTAGTCCTGTCACCTCACAGCAATGTGTTTCCTTAATACAAAGACATGCTCATTTGACAAATTGAGGATTCTACATTGTTCATATTTGGCATATAGTGCATACTGGGATACATTCCAGTACTTTCAGACCCTTTTCTACATGTACTGCTTTTTCTATTCAATTGTCTCTAGGCAGGGCTTCTCTCACACACTCCAAATAAATGCACATTCTGATCAGATAGCATATAACCAATATTTTAAGATGGTTGTATGTAGTGCTGGGCGGTATGACCAACATTTTATATCACGGTATTTTTCAAAATTATACCGGTTTCACGGTACATGACGGTATTTTTTGACGCATGAACGGGTGTTAACCATATTTTCTACTGATTGAGAGAGGAAATACTGCAGTATATTGACTTGGCATGCCCTATTTTACTGTCATTATGAGTGAATATTGTCAAAAAATACCACACTAAATAGTGACTAAACACGACCCATTTTAATACATGTTAACCAGGAGTCACTCTCATTTATAATCGCGGCATCGTCTGATAAAATCAACATGCATCTTCACTAAAGAGCGGCTATGCGGTTGTTTTGGCTATATTACTTTTTTGTCTCATGCAGCGCACTGCCTGCGTCTGAGTAACAAACTAAAAAAAACAACAAACAAAAAAGTGCATGTGATATTAACACACGAACTATGCTCATATTTATAATTCCAAACAATCAGTAAGCGACAGGTGCTAGGAAACGCTGTTTTGTACTCATTTATTGACGAGTCGGCTGCGCTGCTTCTCTGTCGCTCACTGCACAGAACAGATGCAGAGAGAGGTGACACTTCAGTCAGACCTCGCGTTCGCAGGACAGCACTGGCGAAATCTTCCATAGCTAAGGTTTATCCAAAAAAGTCGCTAGGTTTGTCAGTATGAATATTCTATGGAAAAAAGCCGCTAAAAGGGTCTGAAAGTTGCTAAATCTAGTGCTAAAGTCGCGCTCGTGTGTGTGAGACGCGGGAGCTGATGGCAGGGGGC